ATATAGCACAAAAATATAACTATAAGCTGATAATAACAAACTATCCAAGAAATTTAAATTTGGTATCAGGACATTTAATAATTATTGATATTTAATCAGTTAAATAATAAATAAAATCAATAAAGAAATAAAATAAAATTATTCATAAATATTAATAGGATTTATTAAATACAGATTCGCAGAACAGAGGGCTCAAATTATTCAAAATCAGAGACATTATACATAATTTTAAAAATGTAGAATTATTTTTGTTATGATTAAATGGCATTGACCAATTATGTACCAATTCACACGGTTAAGCATCCGGGGACCTAAACAATGCTATTTAATTCGATAAAATAATAGAGAGGATTAGTTAATCCATGATGCGGGACGAGAACCCTTTGTACCAATTTGACTTTGTTTAACAGTCATAATAATTATTATTAAACAAACACATTTTTTATACTGGTTTAACAACCAAACATATGTTTAGTTGTTAAAAAAAATAAAAATATTAAACAGAATTTATATTTCATATTCCTGTAATAATTATTGTTATAACAAAATAAAATAATAATAGTACAATAGAAAATTATTTTACTTAAATCTTTAAATCAGATTTAAAAGAAAGTTATAAGCCTTAAAAAAACTTTAGAAACTTATAATATATATTTTTCTAAATTTATTGAAAATTGTCCATGACTGGTTAATTTGAAATATTAATGATTCTCTAAGACCACCCAGTCCTCTAGAATCTGTGTTATATTAAGATATCTTTTATTAAAACAAAAAATGTTATGAAATCCCTTTTAATTCAATATTTAGGTATCAAAAAAAAAATAAAAAATTTAAAATGACACTATAGCCACTATTTATATTCACATCAGAAGATTTTATTATAGCGATTTTAATAACATCTAATTCATTCTATACTAGTTTAAGCTATGCTAGATGATGAGAACTAATTTAACAAATTTATTGTATCAAGGTTAAGATTTTAAAATTAATACATTATTTTTTAATCAAAAACAGAATTAAATTTTATAAAACACATGATTTTTACTGTATGAAAAATTATTTGAAATTCCTTAAATGTTTACATAAGAGATCTAAAAGTAAAGAAAAATTAATAATAGAAACCCGATTCCTTACTTGATGAACACCTATATTAGAGATACTTTCGGGAATATTTTACCATTTTTCATGATTATTTACCCATTTTTTCTAGGATATTATAAAGACAATAGCAAAAAAAAATGATAACATTTTTACATCAAACTTAATATTTGTTTCAATTAAATATTATTTCGACTAATAAGTGTGACCAATAAGATTGTCTTAATTAGTATCTATTGTCTGAATTTAACGCAGGATACGTTCAATAAATTTTTAAGCTGACAAATAGATTCGCAAATGCCTTAGACATTTTATTCAATTACTTTAAGCCGCAAAATAATTACTTGTAACGTTAACACAGCGCATCAATATGATAATTTCAATATAAATAAATAAAAATGTCAACATGAATTTATAATAATTATAATTTATATTGTAATATTTGTAATATTTTAATATATTGTAATTATTATAGAAATATGTACAAATATTACAAAAAATAAATTATCTCCAATTAAAGGCATTACCCTCAAAAATGAAAATGAATATCCTTTTTTAGCTTTAATGCGAAGCTGAGAATTCACCTTTAATTTGATATACATTTTTTTGAACATCTGACCCTTTAGCAGTCCATATAGGAGGATTCAAAATAGAAACTTTTGCGTCTTTTGAACATATATTAAATTAAATCTTATGTTACGTACTATAAGTTGAAAAACATACTATTTTGGTAGTCAAATTGAGTATTTAAATTTTTAATTACTATAACTTTTGAAAAATGTATGGATTAATACAGTTTATTTTATGAGTACTTTATACGTATTCTTTTCATTAGATTCGTTTTTTTTTAAATCATACCATTTCCCCTTATATAACGGGGTTAAAAACTTTAAAAATATGAATAAACTTGTAATATGTGTAAAAAGTTTTAAACATTTTTCAAAATAAAACTGATACTATTTATTATAAATTTTCTATTTTAATTTTTTTTTTTCAATTAATTTTTTCTATATTATAGGTCAAACGGTATAGTCCAAGAGTAGAGTAGGAGTAAATATCCCATTTAACAAAATAATTATAAAAATTATTTAAGTGTTAATTATAAATATTTTGTAACTTTTAAGGCCAATCCAATAATTATATTAAAAGTAAAGAGCTGCTTCAAAAAATAATATTCTAGCTATCAATATTATTTCTGAGAAATTGATGTAACGAAATAAAGAGTGATTCTTTTTTTAAATAGCTACTCTTTTTCACACGATTTATCTTCAAATAATATTATGTTAAGAAAATTCTTTATTGTATTTTTTAGTTTCATATATTTCTCAATTTATTAATTATAATAATTTTTTTATTCGGTTTTTATACCTTATAAGGAAATTAATATAAGTCAAATTAATTTTTTTAAATGGTCACATTCATACTTAAATAACTAACAAATAAAAATAAACTAATTAAGAAAATGACTGTCGATAAAAATTGTTGACACATTATTTCGAAATTAAACTGTTATAAAACATAGATTGGAAGTGAAGTGTGGGTTATATTATTTTTATCATTACATATTACTATGCTACACTCTTCCTCCGCTCTATATTAAAAAAATTCTGAAGTACTATTTAAAAAATTATATTCGATTGGTCATTTTCTTAATTAGAGAATAATTTATTTCATTAGTATGTTGCCATTTTAATTTCGAGAAATATATAAAATTAATCAATACCAAAAAGGAGTTTATTAATATAATTATTATTTTAAAAGTAATTGGGTGGCTAATATTAAAAAAATCACGCACCACCGAAGCGTTCTTTATGATATTAATTTTAATATTTATCAAATATCATCTATATTTGTACCCAGTGTGTCGTGAAACCACTGTTCTGGGTTTTTATTATTTGAGATAAATAAAAAGTTTTTTATATATTTTTTATTTTTCTAAATTTCAGTATGACCATTTTTTACAAAAAATGTTGATTAATCGATGACATCTTAGGATAAATATTATTTGAGTTTTTAAATGATTTTAATTCGTACACTGGATATGTAGTGCAGGCGGAGAGGCGTTATACAAAACGTGCCAAATATACGTTATGTCTATACCAATATTTTATTATTTTAATTTATACTTATTCTATATCTTAATTAATTAATATATATATATATATATATATATATATATATATATTATATAATTAAGAATATTTGTTGCTACACTCATATATAAGTTTTCACATCTTCCGAGGGTCGCCTGCGAGTTTGTCATCTTTTTTATTTATTCTGAGTATTGTCAATGCCAACTCTGAGACATAATCTCTATTTGAACAAAATATTCAGGGGTTTACCTTAATTTTTTCCCTCCTTAAAAATATTACTCATAAATTTATATCTTGTTTTCATTTTCATTTTTTTCTTTTTTAATGACAGAATTTACATGGCCTAAGCCTCCTACAGATCTCCTAAATTATTTCTGTATCCCAGGGATGATTAGCAGAACTAGAGTGTTGTTTGTCATTGATTAGCATTTAACGTTTTATTATTTTTTTTTTTTTTGCATAATATTTATTAAGTTATTTATTTATATAATCTGATTTGGATTTTTTATTATAATCTTCAAATTAACATTTAAATTATAGAATTATTTTTCAGGTGGAGGGCACAGTAATGGGAATAAGTATCCAGATCTCCAAATTACGCCTTTGATTAAGTTTCCTTAAGTGGGAGCCCAAAATTGCTACAAAAAGTCTATTTAATTGTAAAATAATGAAAATAATGAGTTTTCCCAAATCTCATTTTTTTTTTAAATCTACCCAATGTTATAACACGAGACAAACCGGATGTAAAAATATATTGTAAAATTATACGTAGAGAGTACCTTCCGTTACAGATTTACATACTGTAACAAAATAATAATAGCCATCCTGTAATGGTTAGATATCAATAAAAAATGCGTTAACAACCTTAATGAGTTCCAGTCAATGCATTAAAATTTAACTCTTATTTAGTTAAGATTCAAATGAATAACAAAAATAATAATTAAGAATAGAGACACAACTGTAACAACTATCATACTGGTTAATAACATTTTATTTTTTTATTTCTTTAATAATATGATTGAATAAACACTATACGAGGTTGTTGTATCTAATAGTCAGTAACCGGTGAAGTGAACTTCCGCAGGTGGGCCCTTCACTTCCCATAAAATACCACCTGACTCAGTATTTAAAAAAATTCCTAGACCCTTTCAAGTGCCTCAAAATCAAAGATTTTACACTAAATAGTGCAGACGACTACACAGTTTCAATTCTAATACATAATTATACGAAAAATAGTAATAATAATATATTTATTAAATACTAAATAATCTCATCATTTATATCAAATTAAAACAAAAACAAGAAATCGAAATTTCTCGGGAAACCCTTTTTTTTAAATAAAACCTAAAATGCATTTATAGAATGAAATATAATAGTTATATACATTACTATAAATCCTGATACAACAACGCATGTATAAATAAAAATTACTTAGGTTTCATGGAATTATGCAATGTTATATTGAAATCGTTTTAACGTAGTTCAAATTTATATAATATACGGTGTTATAAATTATATACACACAGGATGGACATAGATATAAAAAGGGGTGGACTAAAATCATTCATTTATTACCATTTAACATAAAGTATAGTAAATAATATGCGCAGACATTTTATGTTATTTTAATTAATCCAGGAACGTAATTGGGGCAACATGAGATGTGGACTTCCCGAAGAAATTTTAGTTTAGACCCCTCTCTCCAAAATTAAAATACACACCCGAATCATTCAAACTTATACTTTATGTTATACAGTTATAAATTTTATTAATTATTTTGTATATATTTTTCCAAATACTTAATATTACCTGGTTTGTTATACATTGATTGCCACATAGAATATCTTCATCACTTTTAGTTTCATTCTGTAATAAAAAGAAATTGATAAAATAAAACACTAAATATTTTAAACTTTTTTAAAGAAAATTCTTCAACATTAACTTTTTGTAAAACAATAAGACAACAGAAAAATAATATTACAATATTTCATAAGTACTTCATGATAAAAATCTTCATTAACGTGAATTTCTAATTAAAGAAAAAATTAAATACAATTTATTTAGAAGCATTATTTTTTATAGTTCTTATTGTGTAAATATATAGCTCATCAATAATCCTAAGTTAAATTATAATTACGACTAATTAATACAATACAAAACTATTAAATAGAAAAACAAAAACAATTAAAACAATCTTTTAAAACGCTTAGAAATATCATGATAATATCTATAATTAATGCTTAATCATTTAATAATAAGACTTGCACTCAATAGAAATGAATGACAGAAATATTTTGAAATAATTGAGGAAAAATTTTAATGTCATGCAATGCAATAATATTAATTAATGAAGATTATTAAGATTATGAACCCTGGTTATTAAGGGATTCGTGTGGTCTATACCATGTAGCAAAGTTAGGAGGCAAGGCTACCATTTGGATTGAAGCACTATGAATAAGTTTGTAAAAAATACACAGAAAATTGGTAAAAGAAACAAGACTAGTAATGGATGAAAAGAATTTGAGGTGAAAATTGCAAAAAGGTATATTTCCTGCAATTACCACATGACTGGGGAGGATCCAGTGACACTGATATTTTTTTTTCGAGAGTATTAATAAATTAAATGAACGATATAATGTTAAATATAAAAAGAAAGGAATTCGACTAAGAAGGATTGGAAAATATGACTTAGAGACACGATTGGATATCTGAAAAAAAAAGTATGAATTACTAGGAAAAATAATAATATATTGAAGAGCAAAGAGGACGCCACATCTAATAATTGATAATATATTATATTGATAATAATTCATGTCATAATTTTAAACAATATAAGAGAAGCCCGAGAGTAAATTAACTAAAATTATTAGTAAATTAGATGAATTTTAAGCGATACTTTAAAAGTAATTATTAATATAGTAATTATTTTTTTACATAACAATTAAACTTTTTATAAAACTGATTTATGGTAATATAGATATGTTTTTTGAGATTACACGAATCAGATAGTACTGATGATTAACTTTTCTTTTTTAATTGAATTGGTTTCACAATATTTATACTAATAATAATTACAAAATATTTTTATTAAATATAAATTATACTTAAATATTTTGTATTAAATTAAGTTCATAAAAACGATTTAAACAATTTTCTTATACTGCTTATCCATATTAAAACTACCGTTAAATTCTAGTTTTTAAAAGTATATAGTTTTATTAGATTATAAAAACGTAGAAAATTCTATACGATATCATAAAAAAAATTAATTTAATTATTTTAAATTATAGTAATTTAAAATAATTGATTTAATTATTTTAACAGAATAAACTATTCAATTTTGAAACTCGTTAATTTTCGTAAATCACTAAAAATGATTGTTCTCTACCTTTTTTAAAAAGATTGTGATAGATTAAATAATAACGACAGTAGGGATATATGGTACTCGTGGGAAGATTTTCCATGCAGTCATTTCTCAAAGAAACACAAAACAGTTAAAAAACAGGTGGTTGAATGAACGCTCATTATCTACCTGAGAGGAAAATGAGCGGACATCCTGTCCCTGCGGTAACGACACGAAATAGTTATAAAATACTTTCTTATACACTAAAAAAGTGTCTAGACGCCTTTTGAAGTTGTTTTTTAACCGTATTTATCAAATAATTTTTTTTGAAGATCTTTAGTTATAATTTTATTTGATACACATTACATCGAATTGTACGTCAAAAAATAAATAACACATAGTTTTTGTAATATATACTCATGAAAAAATAATAATCTAAAATAATAATGTAAGTAAAATATGAAACTTCATAAAACATATTTGCTATTCAAAATAGATTATACATTATCTTAGGATACACACAATAGTTTTTATAAATCAATTGTATACTTAGTGCCATACCTAGGAAATCATTATTTCAGGATCTTGATTATGAAAAAATAACGAAATATAAACCGCATATATTGAAACAATAAGAATTACTGGAGATTTATTATAAACTGTAATTTTTAATCTAAAAATTACATTCTAACATTAATTATACAATAATTAACATAATAATTAATTAATTAGATAAAAAAAACTACCTACATTAAAGTAATTTTAAATGATTAAATTTTAATATTTTCAATAAAAAAAAATTTAATCTAACACAAAAAGTAATAAATAAAAAATTAATATTGATTTTATTTTAAACATGAAAAATATTAAAATCCTAAACATATAAGCAAACCAATTATTTTTATATAACCAATGATTTTTTGTTTTATTATTTAAAATTATTAAAACATGTTACATGACATATGTTATAAATTTTAACTAATTATTTTGTCAAATTTATTAAAAATGTTTGTTAGCCCTAGTAAAGATATTTTGTTTTACAATGATCGTTTTAAGTGTAGTACAGCGACAACTTTTTTTTTTTGACAAAAACATGATTCTTCATGAAAATTTTGAATTATTGACAATACTGCACAGTTGTACAAAAACATAAATTACACTGCCATATAAAAATAATTGAAAGGATTAACTTAAGTGCGGCCCTTACAAATGAGCTTAATTGCCTTGATGAGTTTCAACATATAAAACAGCAATGAGAACAGCTGTTTATTATTTTTATATCGAACTTTGAAATGGGATCATTAACAATACGAAAACGTTGGAAAATTGTAAATTATTATTACAATAGTATTGAACGTATGTGTAAGATCAAAATAAATACTAAAGGCCCAACGCATTAAATACTACTCATTACTATTGATAACCTTTTTAAATAAGTTCAATACATTAATTTTAATTATAAGAGCCATCTTATATTCAATTTTATCTTTTTATATGAATGTTAAAAAGGTATAAAATGAATAGCACACAGTTATAAGAATGATTATCTACGAATAAATGTTATTTTCAATTATTTTATCTTATTAATTTACAGTAAAATATTGATGTAAATAAATAGTTTTTATTAATATTTAGGTTTTAAATTAAAAATGATTTCTTTACTAATTTAGACATGAATTTAATTTACAACACATATGTGCACTAAACGTTAGATAAAAACCCAGTATTTAAATATCAATTTATTTATATTTAATAAATAATAATTAATATTTAATTATTCTTCTGTAAAAATTAATGATTAATATTGCTTTACATTTTATTTCACTTAACCTATGTAATAAAAAATAAATCCATAGATAAATGTAGTCATTATATTAAATTTAAGGTAGCACACATTTTTAAAATTAAATTTTCATGCTTCAAATTAAAAATATATACTTTGATGTTATTCTCTAATATATCTAAAACTTTTATTGGTCTTCAAAATACTATTAAAGAAATTTTTTTTTTTAATTGACAATACAGTTATGTATCTAGGGTATTTAAAAAGGCTGAGCCCTCCCCATTGGCTGTGCATTACCGACATTTTAGATAAAAAACACTAAATAAAAAGGTTAACATAATTTTTTCGTTATTTAAAATTCTAAATAATGCCTATGATATATAATATTTATAGTTTACTTATACTTTAAAATAGGAATATTTCAGAACTTCAAAGCGTATCCTAATCCACCTTGATCATAAAACACAGGGCCAATTTAAGGTATGTTTTCACATTAAGCAGAATCATAGTTACCGTCTTTTAAATTTATTGATGATTTTTTTTTTCAAATTTCCCGATGCAAATCCAAGAATCAAAAATCAACTACATATTTACAATTATGTTTGTAAGAATTAAGTTTTGTTGTGTCGTCACTAAAAAGTCATGTATTTATCAATAAATTAATGGATTGTGCTAAATTTCACTACTCTCCAAAATTGAGCGTTAATTTTCATACTTTATAAATAGCATAAAGACCACGATAAAAAATGAAAATTCAGATTTTTTTAAACAATATTTTAGCTTATAATAAAATATTTACTAAGTAACGCTTACTCTAGTCACAGTCAGTGTCGGATTAGTACTTATATGTGGTCCCTATAGAAAATATCACTACCATATAAAATATGACTGACAAAAAAAAACAGAACGACTTTGTCACTACTCATGACAACTAGTAAAATTCAAAATAGGCTCCTGGACATTCACCCCTCCCCCTAGCTTCCTCAGGCTCAGGGTACAGTTCAACACTTACGAGTAAATATTTAAAATAAGCAATAATAGTTTCTAGAAGAAACTAATCTTATGCTGTTTAGGTGAAGTGTGAAAAACAAAAATGAATGATTTGGCAATGAGATTCAAAAATTAGAAAAAATACATCCTAATTCTAAATATAATACCAGTTTTATATGAAATAAATACTAGATAACGACATCGCTACTATCAATACAATATCTTTATACCTACGAAACCCATTTCCTTAATCATGGTCTGGTGTTGAAGGTTAACCGTATATCATATTATTTTTAGTGAAAAAATGAAAATAATAAACTTTTTAATAGCAAGTATTACAGAAATTTAAAATAAAAGTGACAATCAAAATAATGTGATAATGTTTCAGACTATTACTCACGTGGTTAAATTCAATAGCCAAGTAAAAACCGATCGGGTAAACCTAACTTCATGTTAACTTAGCAGTAGTACTTTGTTTACTCAAACCGGGATGCCAGAATAATAGTTCATTATAAAAAGTCTAGTTTATTATTAGTTCAAATATAGGTAATAAAAATACTTAATAATACATTATGAATAATTGTCACCTCTGAAAAGATAAAATTATATAAATAGACTGACTGAATTAACTGTTTCATACATAAGAAAATACAAGATTTTAAAAATTAAAAATAAAACAACATATTATTAACAACATTACTATTAATCTATTTGCAAGTGAAAACTAAATAGATACTGTGTATTTGTAAAAGGTTTAAAAATTTATTTAAAAATTCTACAATAGGAGCTGTATAGTACATATAATAAGACAATTTGGAATAATATTTTAAATTACAATATATATATACAAAAATATTTTTAATAATTCACTAAAAGAACTGTAATTCAAGATAAAAATACTATCTCGGAGCACTTTATATCATTTGTAAACTTATATTCATTATAGAAGTTTTGTTGTATAATTTTTAAACCCTTTTGTTATCAAATTATTAAAAAAGAATTCGCTAATAAACACTTATGTTGAATTTATCACATAATATGTAACTATTTAGTAAACGGTTTTTAATTACTGATTTTTCATAATAAGTCAGGTATAAATTTGTTTCAATTATATATCGGTACTCTCGTTAGCTAATATTTAAACATTCAATACAAAATTACTACAATCAATATCGTATTGATTGTAGTAATTTTGTATTGAAATATAGTTTGTATAGTTATCATTATCGTAATGATAACTATAATTTTTTCTTAGAGTAAAATATGAAAACAGCTAGGAAAAAAAAAAATTTGAATTGAAAGTAGTTAAACCATAACTGTCAACATACATTACAAATATAAAGTACTATATTTGACATGACAAAAAAATATAGTGTACTATAGTCTTTGAAGTTCATTTTTATTCAAATAAACTTATTTTGAAAAAAATTTTGTAAGTTCCATATATATAATAAACTACCAATAAAATTTAAAACTGTAGGAATAATGATGCAAATGATAATCCTCTCCAAGTTGATTATTAAAGGATGAATTATTATTATGAAAAATACTAATCAAAAGTTCAAAAAAATATATTAAAATTAAAAGAAAAATAATACTGATATTCGTCAAAACTATAGTTAAAAGCAAATTTCTAATTAAAATCAAATGTAGCTAACCCAACTCTTACTTAGTTATAAAGACCTAGTTTCAGATTGATGTGAATTTAAAACTATTGCCTTCGTGTTATTAAATGATGTTTATTAATTTGATTAGGTTAATAAATTCAAGCCAAAATAAAATATAACAATTTACCTGACGAGGGCATTTTTTTGAGCAAGTTACTTGCACAGTGTCGATTTTTTCGGACAAGAGAGATTGAGTAATAGCTGCTAAAAGCACGATGACAACGGCTACTAACAAGATATTCGCAGCCATAGACGCCATAAACGTCGCACAATTTTAAGAAAATAAAATATAATCCATATTGATCATTAAAAACATAGTTAATTTTTTTTACAAAGAAATATAATAATAGCCCGCGGACTCTAAATATAAAGAAACTTAAATTGTCTTAAAAGTATATGAAAAATAAAAATTATTACTCAACAACAAACTACACACCACGAGAGCCGCGGGAAAACTAACTTTAAAATCTCATTTCAGTTCAACTGGTTCTACACTCCGGGTACCCTCACGCACCACAAGGAAACAGCTAATACAAATCCGTGTAGCTCATACTATTTAAAGTTGGCGGTATTTGGAAACATCTGTTTTGATAATAAAATCAGGTGTAGCATATGAACAAATCAAAATATAATTTGTAGACTATTGAAACAGTCGACTTGAAGACCTTTGAACGACATGACTAGTTCATAATTTATGTTGTATTCATTGTCAGTTACGCTAATCATTTATCAGTATTTATTTATAAACGGTATTGTAATACTTGTTGTTTCAGTTATCTAAATCAACTACGAAAATAAATTCATCTAAAACAATAATAGTTATTGTTACGAACGAATATATTATATAAAAAATTGAAATATTCAGGTAGGACAAATTTTTTCTTTATTAGAAAAACTACTAACAAAACTTATTACAGTCAAATTATATAATTCTTAGTTAAAAACTCAATAGTGTTCGTTCACTATTATTATTTTGCAAACAATAATATTTTTTTAGTCATTATAACTGAAAGCAAAATAAAAAAATGAACCGAAAAGACTAATACAATCTTCGCATAATATCGCGGCACTTTCTCTGGTGTCGCGCGACGCAGTGTCCATACGAGTCCTCGGACGTCAAGAGATTAGCAGTGATGGTGCGCGAATGCGGATCGATTTGTCGAATCCGATTGTGCGACACATCCGGAGCCGGTGAAGTACATCCTCGACGTCGTCATTTTGATGACGGGAAGAAAACTACGTATAACAACATTGCACTGCGGCGAATAGCACAAGGTGTGGTCAGTCAAATCATCAAATACGGTTGATAATGGTACCACGGGTCACCGTTGTCAAGAAACAACGCGGGACCGTAAATCAATTAATGAATAGCATGGTTTTAGTACAGACAAGATAAACCTTTTTGTCTTATCTGTATTTTTAGGCTTAATAAAGAAACTAATTTATTTATATATTTTACTATAACTTATCTGATAATGTAGCAAATGACTTTCAAATTGAAACGGTTTATATCGATATCAGAAAAGCTTTTGATACAGTTGATCATAATTTATTAACACTTAAGTTGAATAATATAAGGTTAAATGATAATATTTTTTATGGATTTCCTCTCTCATACTTAAGAAACAGAACTCTAATAGTTTAATTTTGTTATGAGTTATCTCCCTTTATATCCTATTTTCGTAAGCCCCTCTAAATATGAGCCACCTGGAAGAATCTGATCCTATATTAGTAAGTATTGTATTGCCACAAGCCGGTTATTTATTCCCAATTCTTTTTTTGTTATTTATTAATTATTTGAAAATATATAGTATTATTAAAACTCCTGATGATTGCATTATATTGCAAAATGATGTAAAATAGATTTATTAACTGGTGTTCTAAATCTAGATTAACAATTACTGAAGATATATGTAAACAAATACCTTTTTGTCATATCAGAAATCCAATAACATTGTTCAGTCACCAATACTAACCCGATTGATCTAGGTGTCAAAATTGAAATAAACCCAACGACGTTTTATAGGTTTATTGGATACATAATAAATATGCATAACCATTCTACAGAGTGATTGGTTTATCATAAACCACTCTAGTACTCTCTAAATAAATTCAATATTGGAAAAATAATTTTTGATTTTAGCTTCGATACGAAGCTGAGAAGGTATTAATTTTACTATGATATGTTTTTTTTTATTTATTAATTATTATTAATTTTTTTTTGTGTCTATGAACGCTCAATCTCAGCTCTCGCTGGAACGATTTTAACCGATTTTGAAATATTCCAAATTTGTTGGTAACATGTTGCTATATAAATAATTTCTAAAAAAAATGATTGTTAGTTTCTCCTGAATTTACAATGGATTTTTACAATTATAATCAATAGTAATAGAAAAAGTTTAATTGCAGATTTGAAACACATCGCGAAAAGTTTATTTTTGTTTCTGATGAAAGTTCCTTGTAGTCTAGTGTATTTATTCATAAGTAACAAAAATTTTTATTAAAAAGTGTTGCATCAATCCCTTTAAATTTTTATACGCGTTAAAAGTATATGAATATAAACTCCTTTTTATTTTTATAATATCTCTGTAAAAATTACAATATTATTGAATATCAATTTCATACTAAATTTAATTACTATAATTATTATGTATTCATATATAATAATTNATTTAATTACTATAATTATTATCTATTCATATATTATAATTATAAATCGGGATAAAATTAAGGGAATAAAAGTTATGGTTGCTTTTGAAATAATCTACCAATTTCTTAAAATTAAACNCAATTTTAAACTTGTAATTGAGCTAAATGTTATGGTAATATATTCATTTTTTTTTGCTATAAACTTTCATAAATCTTTATCAAAAATTTTTCATCAATTTTAAAAAACCAAAAAAATAGGTTAAAAATGAAAATTTGGACTGATTATTTTTAACATATTAAAAATCAAATCAGTAATAATTTGAAAACAATTTTTTTTTTCTTTTAATTATTTTTTATATGTAATTAGTAATAATATAAAAAATTAGAACTGATAGATAAAGTCTAATTGCAGATTTGAAAACAACGCGAAACTTTGATTTAGAAAAGTATATTTTTGCTTCTGATGAAAGTTCCTTGAAGTCCAGTGCATTCATTTATAGTAACAAACAGTTTTTATTGATAATTATTGTATCAAGCCCNACTAAGTAATTTTTGGTATTTAAAAGGATTGTACAATTGAAATATACAGAACTGAATTAATTTTAATGATTTACTTTAACTAAAATAAAAAAAAGTTATTATTTTGAAACCCTCTTGTGGGTAGGTAAAGGGTTAGATTTATAAAAAAAAACAAAATGATAGATAAAGACATGCATCTAAATAAAAATAAAAATATACTGATTTGGCCATTTTTGATATAGTTATAACAGTTAACAAAGTTATAAGTTTTATACATTGTACTACAAGGAACTTTCATCAGAAACAAAAATATACTATTCTAAATAAACTTTTCGCGATGTTTTCAAATGTGCAATTAGACTTTTTCTATCACTTCTAAGTTTTAATATTATTAAAAAATAGTATTTACATATAAAAAAAAATAATTAAGAACAAAAAAAATTGTTTTAAATTAATACTGATTTGATATAATATTTAATATTAATTTGATTATTAATAAGTTAAAAATAAGGAAAATGACATATTTAACCTATTTTGTTAATCGTTTAAAGTTGATTGTTGTAAATGTTTATAATAAAAAAAAAAAATTTATTTTACCATAACTTTTAGCTCAATTGGCAAATTTGACATTGACATCATTAAATAGACAATTTTATGACAATTAAACAAATTGTATCGTTAAGATCGATATGCAGTCAGAAAGTTTTATAATTACTATTTATTGTAAATTTATCAGAAAAGCTCAATATTTTTTTGCATTTTTATGGTAATAGATAACTTAAATAGAAGTAATAGTAATAATTTCCTAGGAACTTTTGTTGTTTGTTGAAAAGATTCTATAATTGAAATATTGAGAACTTAATTAATTTTAATGATTTACTTTAACTAAATGTACCAATCAAAACAAAGTTGTTAAGAAGATTTACTCAATTGAGCGTATTATAAAATTTGATTATATTTGAAAAAATCAATTGTTAATTCAGAAGAAAAAACAATCATTTTTTTTAGAAATGATTTATATAGCATCATGTTACCAAAAAATTTGTAATATTATAGTCTAGTAGTAGCACACACAAATAGAGTAAAAAAATTATTAAATTACAAAGTAAAATGATTTAATTTTGTAGTTGAAACCTATCATATCAAACTTAATTCGTCAATAAATACTTTGAAAACATAATAAATGAATGAATTTAATTGTCTTTATGGAGAACATGGAATAACTAACTGTTTAATTGATAAATTGAAATTTTTTTTCAATTTTTGAGGGTAATATCTTCAACCTAGATACGAATTGTAGTCATTGGACGTATCGTTGAAAAAAGTAGGTCAAGTTAGAGCAGAGAAAATAAATGATATTCACAAAAAAACATCTTCTCGGCTTTGCATCGAAGCTAAAACTTAAAATATAGTAAAATAATTTTAATACGAATAAGAAATTTCTTCTTGCAAGGGGCGACTAAAGTGATGGGATCATTGATCTTTATTGAAGTTATTGAATCTAAATGAGTTAAAAATTTATACTAACTTAAAAAGAATTAAGAAAAAATGCAAAAAATTTATTGTCATATGGGGGTTGGAACCTCGTACCCCAAGCGTGTAAAACACAAGTTTTAGCAACTCGGCAATCGTACTTTGCTACCGATTATTGAAAAAATTGGGTATTTAAGCTAGTTCAAATTTCAAAGAAATTTTTCTCGACTTAAAAGAAGCAAACAAATTTAAATAAGTTTAACTTTCTATGCTATATTAATTTTNGTAACAATACGCATGTTTAAAGTTTTGACCCCCATTGTTAAAGGGATATGATCCGATTTACAAAAAAAGCGTGCAAGATGAAAGGGGTATATAAATATTTATTATAAAAAAATAATAATATTGATCCATACATTTTTCCAAAAGTTATATAAAATATAAATTAAATAATATAACATATAAAATCGAGATTTTTTTCACGGAAATCGTACGTTTTTCTTTAACTTTGATGTCCGTTTTCACCACGAAGACAAGTCCAGAGGTCAAATTTTTTTTTTTCAAATTAAAGTATATTACATAAGCATTAATTTAAGATATATATAAAAGTGTCAGTCTGACCGGAACATTTTCAAAAGTTAAGTTGAAAAAGTTGTATTTTCTATACGCATTTTAAAAGGTTTGCACCCCCCCTGTATAAAGGGAAAAGGTCCGATTTAAAAAAAAAGTATGTCGAATGAAAGAAGTATATATAAAGTATTTATCATTAAAGAATAAAGTTGATTCATGCATTTTTTAAAAAGTTATAGCAACATAATGTTAAAAAATGTAAAATATAATATCAAGAATTTTTTCACAAAAATAGCATATTTTTGCATACGGTAGTCATTTTCACCATGAAGACAAGTCCAGAGGTCAAATTTTTTTTTTTCAAATTAAAGTATATTACATTAGCTTTAATTTAAGATATATATAAAAGTGTCAGTCTTTCCGGAACATTTTCAAAAGTTAAGTTGAAAAAGTTCTACTTTCTATACGCATTTTAAAAACTTTGCACCCCCCCTGTATAAAGGGAAAAGGTCCGATTTAAAAAAAAAGGACGTCGAATGAAAGAGGTTTATATAAAGTATTTATTGTTAAAAAATAGAGTTGATTCATGCATTTTTTAAAAAGTTATAGCATCATAATGTTAAAAAATGTAAAATATAATATCAAGAATTTTTTCAAAAAAATAGCATATTTTTGCATACGGTAGTCATTTTCACCATGAAGACAAGTCCAGAGGTCAAAATTTTTTTTTTCAAATTAAAGTATATTACATTAGCTTTAATTTAAGATATATATAAAAGTGTCAGTCTTTCCGGAACATTTTCAAAAGTTATGTTGAAAAAGTTCATTTTTTGTGAAAAAGTTGTCATTTTGAATCCCCTTTCTGTGGGCAGGGAAAGGGTAAAATTTATAAAAAAAATATATAAAATGGTAGGTAAATATCTAAGGTATCTATAAAAAAAAAAAATTATGTTGATTCGGTCATTTTTAAAAAAGTTAGGGCAATTTTAAGTAAAAAAAAATGTAAAAATATCGAAAATTAGCGATTTTTAAATTAGTAATTTTTTGGGGGATTTCCCCCGTTTACGGGGAACGAGGGATTTTTTTTCAATTTTTGAGGGTAATGTCTTCAACTAGATACGATTTGTGATCTTTTGACATATTGTTCATCAAAATCGGTCCAGCGAGAGCTGAGATTGAGCGTTCACAGACACAAAAAAAAAAATNCGGTTCAGTGAGAGCCGAGATTTAGCGTATACAGACACACAAAAAAAAAAACACATCATAGTAAAATTAATACCTTCTCAGCTTCGCATCGAAGCTAAAAAAAAAATTTCGGACTTTATTTAGTATTCGTAGTGAAAATGGCTACCGAATGCTTTATTTTGTGTGAAATTTCTCTATTTTATATTTTACATTTTTTACTTTAAAATGCTATAACTTTTTAAAAAGTGTATGGATCAATACAATTTTTTCATGAGAAGTAGTATTTATATACATCTTTCATTCGACATACTTTTTTTTTTAAATCAGACCATTTCCCTATATACGGGGGGCTTCAAATATAAAAAATTCATATAGAAAGTAGAACTTTTTCAACTTAACTTTTGAAAGTGTTCCGGAAGGTTTGACACTTTAATATATATCTTCAATTATAGGTAATGAAATATACATTAATTTGACCTCTGGATTTGTCTTCATGGTAAAAATAGACATCAAAGTTAATAAAAAATTACGATTTTTGTGAAATAATTTTTTTTTATATTTTTAACTTAATAATGCTATAACTTTTCGGAAAATGTATGGATCAACACAATTTTTTTATGAGAAATAATATTTTTTAATAATCCCTTTTTCATTCGACATACTTTATCTTAATCAGGATATTAATAAGGAACTAGCAGATCATGAAGCTTTTGGAATAATCCACCAATTTTTTAAAATTAATCACTATCTAAAGATTTGCATCGAGGCATTTTTTTTTTTAATAGTGATTTTAATTACTGTCAGATATCATACTTGATCCAACTATGCCACGTCACCACTGTGCCGCGACCCCCCTGTGCTGGGTTTTTTAAAAATGACAATATCGATATAATTTTTTTTTATATAGATACATGAGGTATTTACTTATCATTTAATACATTTTTTTTATAAATTTGATCCTTTACCTGCCTACAAGGAGGGATTCAAATGACAACTTTTTTACAAAAAAAAATTAACTTTTGAAAGTGTTCCGGAAACTGACACTTTTATACATATCATAAATTAAAGGTAATATAATATACTTTTTATGAAACAAAAAAAAATTCGAAGTGTTATTGCCATTGTTGAATACATAAGACTATATACTGTATGTATATGTATATATATAGTCCTATATACACGTCCTACTAGGCCACTCTTATATATATTCAAAGAGTCCTACCTCTGTGGCAAAATTTAGTATCTCTCTGGGTTTTAGGTTTTTGATTTTTTTTTTTTTTTTTTTAAACATTTTTCCAAATGGTNTTTTTTTTTTTTTTTTGAAAACATTTTTCCAAATGGTTAGATTCACGTATAATGTGAAATGAATATTCCTCTTCTGCTCCACACTTCTTAACAGTAGTGATTCATCCCCATTGTGTGAAGATTTTTAAGCAGATGACCGTTTCTTGTTAGTAGTCCAATCAGAATGCTTATTTAATATTTAATCATATTTTTGTCCAACCATTGTCCAATCATAACTATTGTGTCCTGGTATCCATGCTGCGTAACTTTATTGAACCTTGCTAGTGATTCTAATGTTCTGTGGTGTCGCTATTCATAGTCCACATACCTAAGTTGTGGAATCTTGTTGTGCTATATCTTTAGTATTAGATTTAACCTATAGGTGTATAGGAGTTAATCCAATTAGTGCCTTCAGCGCCACTATTTGTGTGGTTCTTATCGCTCCGGTAATGGTTATAACAGCCATTCATTGAATGCATTACACCCAAAGAAAAACCTCAATCAATTTTGATAGAGAAATTTTATCAAGGGTTTATGATAATGTTTTATTAATACGAACAAAATAATTATTCTTATGAATAATTATTGTTCAAGACAAGAAAAAAAATCATCATATTGATAAATGTATCATAGATTCAATAGTAATGATATATTTATCAAATTGAACAATGAATTTATTATATAGATCGAGGTTTTTCTCTGGGTGTACTGTGTCATTGCAAGACTGTTATAGGTGTTGTTCAGACCAAGGCACCATAAAAACCATAAGTTTAATTACTTAAATGTTTAAAGCATTAATATTAGCAGACTCAAAATCACTATGAGTTGATGAATTAACTACAAAAAAAAAAATTAATATTTAACACAAAAGACTGGAACAACTAAAATTTGGGTGTAATATTTGGTGGAACAACTAATTAATGGATAATTTTGAATATTAGAAATAAAGTTCATTGGAACTATAAATTTGTGGTACTAAAGGTAGTGATCTACTCATCTTCTTTCCATAGAATTATTCATCTGATGATAAGTCAATGCTTCTTTCATAACAATCTCATTGTTTATCACTGATAACATTTTGGCAGTCCGGATCAAAAAGTCTGTGACGCAATGAAACGTATTGGTAATTGTTATGTTCACTTAGTTAATGTAAAGGTGTAAAATGAGTAATAATTTATTGAAGACTATTATTTATCCGCTAATAAAAGTAAAAGTTTATTCATAAAATTAAACTATCATTTATATATTCATAATGGATTATGCTGTATCATTAAATTGGCATAAATGGTTGTGTAATTCTATGCTTTCGGATACTTCTAAAGATTAATCGAGAGATTTATAGTAATACAAACAATTAAGTTAAGATTTTCATGTTTCCATATCGGAATATATCACCTTTGCATAAAACTTTATTCGGAAGCAAGAATTAAAAATCTTGATCAAGTATTTTGGGGCGCTTAAATGTAATGTATGAATTACTCTTAATTTATTTTATTATTTACGAACTCTATTTTTTGAAACAATATTATTTTTTAGATATTATTAACTAGTCAGTAAAATAATAATAACAATTGGATACTCAATACTATTATAAAATTCTTAACATTTTTGGAGTAATGAAATGATACAATTTTAGCGCTACATAAATCTTTCTTAAAAACAGTTGTGTTTTAAATTTAAAAAGGTAATTACAAAAAATTAGTAACAATTATGTAATTAAATATTCATTCCAACACAAACATGTAGTTACATTAAAATATGAGATTTTTAAAAATATAATTTTGAAAGATCATTTTAATAGAAAGATAGAAATAACTCTTTATTTTTGAGCGTTAATTAAAACTATCAGTAATTTTTAATATTTTGAAACATTTTGTTACTAAGAAACAAAATTCAGTTATGATATCATAATTTCCCCATTATTAATTTGATTTTTAATTTTTATCATACATTATTTTAAAATTAATTTTATATTTTGAATTTTAAAACGTTTTTATACTTTTTTTTTTATTTAGATCAATTATTAACAATTGAAGTGACTGAGTTTTAAGATAATTAGTACTGAATGGTATTTTAAACAAGTAAGCAAAAAATTATTATAAAAATAATTTTTAATTTACAAAAGGGTATTGTAACTAATATTCTATAGTTTGCTTGGTTATGTTATTTATATTTTTCTCAGTTTATGTTGATATTGGGAAAAATAATAGTTTTTTTTTATAATTTTTGTGAAAAATATAATCATATTAATTTCCAAATTCTCTCTTCATTTATCTTATAAAAACTTTATTTTATTGAAACATAAATTAAATTTTATTGTACAAATAATGGTTTGGAAATAAAAAATCTTACATTGTCTCTGAAAGATTTGACTACTTTAAATAGTATAATACTTTTTATTGAATTCATAAATCAACATAAACTGAGTTTCTCGAGTACATTTTGCTTAACAATAAAATAAAGCTGGAATAAAATGCATGGTTGAAAAATGTATTGTTAAAATGTTAATGCAGTTAAGTTATTATAAAAATAATATATAATAATATTTATGGTTTCCTCAATGCTTTTTTTTTGTAAAATTTACTAAAATTATAATTTAGACTTCCTTTTTTAATATTCTTATAATTATTAATATCATACCAATTTCTATTAAATATATTTTATTTCTTATATAAAAAGTAATAGTTTATTGCATAATAAAAACAACAAACTAACATATTTTGCAATACATGTGTATAGGGATTTACGTTATTAAAATTTAAAGCAATTTAAAAAATGAGAAAAAAAACAAATTAATTTTACCATATTTTAAAAGAAAATAATTAGTATTATTTGAATCATAACTTAAATAATAAAAATTAAAGTTATAATAATGGTAAAAATACTGTCTATGAATCTTAAAAATATTAAGAATATATATTTGTGCATAAAATAGTGAAAAACTAAAAATAAATAAATTACAGGAATTATAGAAGAATTGTATAATTTCATGTATAATTGATTTTATACATACAATGTATAATACAAATATATATTACACAAAAAGTGTATAATAGTATAAAAAAAATTTCACAGAAAATTTTGTTTTTCTCTACCAGGTCACACTGATTGTAGTATTTTATACTGATATCATTGTTGTAACCAAACAAATATAATTAAAACAATTATTTTGAGAATATTTTATGTAATTAATTATGATAGTCCAATCTTATGGAATTCTTTTGGAATTCTTAATCTTAATTGCAATTGTATTTTCATACAATATAAGTTATTATAATTTTAAAGTATATTTATAATTACATAAATTAAATTTTAAATTATTTATTTTTTAAATACAAACTATTTTCATAATAAAAATATTGTTTGTATAAAAGGTACAAAACTAGACATATAATATGTACAGTAAAAAAGTTTCTTAACCAAGCTAATAAAATAAACAAATTTTAATTCAATATTATAATAATGTTTTAGTTTTTTCAAATAAAATTTTATTATTTGAATAAATAAATAAATATCTGCTTGTTTAATATAACATTTTTAATTTTAGGTTTTCAATTATTTTTTAATGGAAATGTGGGCATGAATGGTAACTGCATGGCATGTATACCATATGTTAAATAGTGTGTTGGATATTTAAGATAACATGGTATGAAACTCATTAGTAAAATAAGTGTGAACTTTCTGTACCTACCTCACCTTATATTTGGTCAATGCTACTATGAAAAAAAATCGTTTTTTTATATTGGTTTTGGTTAGCATTTTTATTTGGATTGGTATTAATAATTTTTTACTTCATGATAACTTAACTCCTAAACCACATAACTATTTTGAAGATAATTTAGAAAAATTTGAAACGCGTCTAAAAATTGAAAAGGAAACTCATAATTTAATTAAAGAAAATATAAAGCAACTTAATTTTAGTAGCTATGAAGATAGCCATCTATTAAGGAAACCCTTTAATAAATCAACTGTTGCTGTACTAGTTATTGCTTGTAACCGGCCTTCTATATCAAGGTGTCTGACAAAGTTACTAAAATACCGCAAATCAAAAAAAGAGTTTCCTATCATTGTTTCTCAAGATTGTATTCATGAACGAACATCTCAAGTCATTAAAAGTTTTGGTAGTGATATAATTCACATACAACAGCCTGATCAAAAAGAAATAAAAGTTCCATCTAAAGAAAAAAAGTTCAATGGTTATTTTAAAATTGCAAGACATTATAAATGGGCTTTAAATCAAGTATTTAACACATATAATTATGATACTGCCATTATAGTAGAAGATGATTTAGATGTAGCTCCAGATTTTTTTGAATATTTTAAAGCTACTATGCCAATTTTACAACAAGATCAAACTCTATGGTGTGTTTCTGCATGGAATGATAATGGTAAATTTGCTCTTATTGATAGAAATGATCCGAAGTTATTGTACCGAACAGATTTTTTTCCTGGTTTAGGCTGGATGTTAACTCAAAAGTTATGGACTGAGTTAGCAATTAAATGGCCTCATAGCTATTGGGATGATTGGATGAGACATCCTGACCAAAGAAAAGGTAGATCATGCATTAGACCTGAACTTTCTAGAACAAAAACATTTGGGAAAATTGGAGTTAGTAATGGACTATTTTATGATAAACATTTAAAATATATTTACTTAAATGAAGTACCAGTTGATTTTACCAAACTAAATTTAACTTATTTACTAAGAGTAGAGTATGATAAGCATTTTGTAGAAAAAGTATATGAAGTGCCCCTAGTTAATTATAATGAACTTAAAAGTAAAGCAATTAATCATAATGGTCCTGTACGAATTACTTACTATACCAAAAATAATTTGAAGTCATTAACTAAATTATTCGGTCTTATGGATGATTTTAAAAGTGGTGTACCACGGACAGCATACAAGGGCATAATTAGTTTTACATATGACAACAGAAGGGTTTATTTAACACCCAATAAAAAGTGGTCAGGATATGATCCCAGCTGGCAATAATATTCAATACTTTTAACTCTATCCTATTTTATGTAAATAAATAACTATTTTATTTATTATTTATATGTTTATTTATTTATAAATGGGATATTTTATTTTATTTTATCTTAATTTAAATACTAAAAGCATTTAATTATATTTTTGTTCACCAAAGAAATTATTTAGATTATTTAAGGGAATTGTGTTATACTTATTGGATTCTAAAAAATTCAAAATGACTGTTATATGTAAGTAATTATATCTAAACTACTTGGTTATATTGTTGAATAATGATTAGATTAAAATTATTGTTTTGTGTTATGGTTGAAATAAACATTCATAAATAAAGTGCATCGTTTTACCAAAAAAATATTGATTTATGTTCAATTATATGTTTTTTTTTTTGTAATACAGTAATAAGTTCTATTAATAATCTATAAAATTAGCTTATGACGGCTAATTTCAGACAATCTTTCTGAATGTTTGTAGAGGTAGCTTAAGAAGCTGTTGAGAATGTAACTTTATTGATCAACTAATAACAGTCAGCAATTTTACACATATTTAAAACCTTTTTTGTATTTTATTTCATAATTTGAAAATATAGTAAAAATAATCATTTTGATGAAATTTTCTATAATTAATGAGTACAACTCCAAAAAATTTTTATCTACCTATAAAAATTTGTTTCAAAAAAGGATTAAAAAATGACTATTTTGAAATAATTTACATTAAACAATTTAATTAAATTATCTAGATAATTTAATTGAAAAAATAGTTGAAGATGAATTAGAGAAACCTTGGGTCAAACAATTTTTCTTAAGTTAAACAATCAATGAAAAAATACAATTTAAGTACTAAGAATGATATTAGAACTCAATTTAACGATTAATGAACTAAAAAAAGGGTACTTTTATCCCATTGATGACGTTAGAGTCCAGTCAGTATTTAGTAAGTTTTAACGTGCAAATAAATAAATAACTGTTTAATCAAATATTTTTTACATGAAACAAGAAAATAATGACAAAGTTTATTTAGTTTAGTAATTTTACAATTTAATGTAACAATATTTAATTATAATGTGAAAAAATAACTGTTGGCCACTTAATACTTTTTTAATAAATAAGACAATTACAAAAAAAATTGGAGAAAAACTTAGATTATTATTTAAATTTAATAAAATAATGTATAAACTGTATTGTTTTAAAACTACATTTAACTTTTACTATTAATCAATTTTTTTTCTTTAAATTATATGATAAAAATTGTGTCCGAAAATAAAATTATATCATCACTTAATGTTGATAAATAAAAGTATTCTATATTCAACCAAAAAAAATTTAAGTTTTATAAAATTATTTTATAAAGTATAGTAATCTAAAGAATGAAATAAAACAAATACGAATTTTTTTTTGGTAATCTATGTAATGTATTCATTTTTATCACTATTATTTTATAACGAATAAAAAACATGTAAAATTGGTGTAAGATTTGAATTAAGAAGTAAATTATTTATTTCAATTTTAGACTCTAGCCCCAGTTTACTTTACGCTTATAAACACTAAGGATTTTCTGAAATTTATAAGACCGTAGTACTTTAATAAACCAAAATAGAATGTGACCTTAAATAACAAATAAAAGATTTGTTATTTTGTAAATGTGACTTATAAATTCACCCCTAGGTATCCTTCCAAAACAGAAATATTTTATAATTTGTATGTTGCCGCTTAAAGCGTTATTTAGATGCACGTGCTTTGGGTTTCACTGAAGAAAATGATAGTCTTGTTATGACTAAGGATTTTAAATAAAAATATATAACAAAAATAATATTTCAGGCATTACTTTAAACAATAGATTTATAGGCAAAAGTCATTTTTTTTTTTTTGGAAAGAAAATTACAAATTCCAACTATTAATCATAAAATCTATAAAGAAACCTATTCTTTATATCTTATTGTAGTACTTAAAAATACTTAAATATCGTATAATTCTGTTATATAATTACAATACATCAATGGGATAAAATTTTTCTTTTTTTCAGAAAAATTGAGTATTGATTCAGAGAATCAATACTCAATTGTTTATCAACTAAATTTACTGACCACTCTTCTTCTTAGTTATTTACTAATTTAAATTTATTCACTAAAAAGCTCATGTTATGTTAGGAAGTCAAAGATAGTTCTTGGCAAGGCCAATGATGGACGGGACCAGTATTATTGCTTACTTTCACCAGAAAACAGACACCACTAATGAGAAAATCACAAAAAAAATCTCCATCGGAACTTGGGGATCAAACCCAGGACACTATACGTCGAAATTTAAGTTTCTGTCCACTAGGCAGAACCCTTACCGCAACCTCAGAAACTACAAATTCGCCAAAGCCACAACTTAAGACAGAATAATTTTTAGAATCTAAAAACTACTACTAAAAGAAGAGGTGTTTCGAGTTTTTAATTTCAATAATTTAAGCAAAATATTTTTTTAGAACGTTGAGTCTTTTCTATCTTATTGTATGTAACATAAATAAATAGCTTGATGATATTCAAACAAAACTCAAATAATATTTTGTTTATTTACTCTATTACAACTATAATAATTCCATAAATAATTTTAGTAACTTACTAATTTAATCAAATATTCTTTTAATAATGTACCACCAAAAAAGCTTCTATTATTTTTGTCACAAAAGATATTGTTCCCTAGGACTATGCTGACATAGTATGAAAAAGGATTGGCCCGAAGGTCAATGTTAGATGACTAGTTAAGACGTGATCACGTCGATTTGCAATGAAATCATTTCGAATCTTTGAATTTAGTAGTAAATTAAAAAATATATATAAGTACTTATAATATTCGTACAGCTAGTCTGGTTTATTAATTTACCTGGACGTTTGCCTACATTCTAACCAAAAATGATTTAATTACCTTGTATGACGCATGCGTATAACTAATACACTTAATATAGGTAATGTAATTACCATACTAATGCTTCTAAAACGAGTATTATTGAAGAAATTCTAATTGTTATGCTTTCCAACTAATAACGAATAAAATATAATATTTTGTTGATATCCCATAGTAATTTTGGTTGAATATTAATAACACCTCGCATTGATGGCATCATATGGAACAATTACCATTTTGCGACTGTCTTAAAATATCACAAATGTATATCATCGGACAAGTAATCTTGAAAAAATATTTTTATTTAGTTATATTTATACTATTATTTTAAACTATCGTTAGAAAACTTTTTAATTTATGTAATTATCATCAAAAAAATTATTTTTTACCTGTTTTATTGACGCATTGTTAGAATGACTCATCATGGGATACCGATTGCTGAATATGTTTACATAGAACATATAAAAGAATCTAGCAAAGGTAGTGTTGACGTTTACAAAGAATTTTTGGATAAAACTGATACGGCAGCCAAATATCATTATGTATATTCTTTATTGGAAAAGTATAATTGGTTACCATCGTGGGACGGAGATCGGATTAAATTGTCTCGAGCACATCGCAGGTGGCGTAAACGATTGCGCAAAGAACTCAAAACTCTTGGAGCCAATGTGGATATGAACTGTTCTTCCATGGAGAAAAACAATATCATGGCCGATAAATTGAGATCTCGGGGAAACGACGAATTCAAATCAAATAAAAACGAAGAATCATTAAGTTTGTACACTAAGGCTTTGATGGTGGCTCCTGTAGATTCAGTTCATTACGCTTTAGCTGTGGCAAATCGATCGGCTGTACTATACCACATGTGTGAATATTCCTGTTGTATAAAAGATGTGGATCGTGCCTTGCTGTCTGGCATGTACCCGCAAGAACTGACGTATAAATTATTGGAAAGGAAGGGCAATTGTTTTTGGAAACTAGGAAAAAAGACACAGGCTATTCAAACGTATTCGGTAGTGTGCAAATTCTTATTAAAAGTGTTTTTATGCTTACTGGTTTTTTTCTAAAGTAACATTTTTCTTAGGATTCCGATTGATTATCACAAATATTTTCAAAAACAAGTTTCTTCAATTGAGAAAAAACATGTATGCATAGAAATACATTTAAAAAAAAAATATTTTTTCAATTATAAAATTCATATGCGCAATTCAAAGAAACTATATAATAAAGACTATTTAATTATCCTCAAAAATTGAAAAAAACAATTATGTATAAAGGTTTATATTTAAAGGAGGTAGAAAATTAAATTAGACCTTTCATAACATTTTATTTAAATTGCGCCTATGATTAACTTGTAGTTTTTAGCTAAATATAAAGTTTTTTTTTTAGTTAAGTCTTACAGCTATAAGTAATACACAACTATTATATTCGGATAAACAAAATATTAAGAAAAGAATCTTTGACAACATAAAAAAATGCCAGGAGTTGAGTACAAAAAACAATTTCAAGAAGTCAAAAAAAAGAGTGTTGCGTTTTTTACAACACGCAAACAACAATGTACCTTTATTATCCGAATCCGTTAGAGCTACGCAACTAGAGAAAATGGGGAGAGGATTAACAGCTATAAGGAATATAATCCCTGGTAAATTACAGAATTTATATATTTTCTTGATTTTTTCAAATTAAAATAAAATTTAGTAAATAATATAAATTTAAATTTAGTCTAAACAAATCACTGCCTTTCTTTGACCAATTTTTTTCTGTAACTATTATTGTTTAGATTTTTAATTAATATTCTATTTTTATAGATAAACTACCATATTTACTTGAATTATCTCATATTAAAATTCAAAAAAATCATTTGGTATTTTTTCTAGATATTAATATTATTGTAATTAATAGGTATATTTACAGGAATTAGGAGTCTTCAGATTTAAATTTTCTCAGAATCAAAAAAAAATATACGATTTAGACAATAATTTAAAGTGTGATCGTAAAAAAAACATTTAAATCAACTTCTTACTTTTCAGAATAGCAAAATGAAATCTTTATTTTCCATCTATAATAATGAAAAAATTGAATTGCTTTTTTTAATACATACCTTTCAACATTATTAATGTATTAATACATACTATTTTCACAATAAATAATAGCTGTTAAAATAAACTATTAATCGAGAAATATCAATTTTAGCTGATACGCTCCTTTAATTCTAAACTCTTATAAAGTCGTTAACTCCTCTTTGTTGAAAAATCGCTTACGCTACCGCCTGTAATGTATAGTTAATACGAAAAATTATATTATTATTATTGTTATTATTACTATTATATAAATTATATTTATATTTGTAGGAGAAGTACTTGTTATTGAAAAACCATTCGCGGGAATATGCAAAAATAACGAATGGAAGTACAATTGTAATTATTGCTTTAAGCGTTGTCTAGCAGCTATTCCATGTTCCAACTGTACCCAAGTATTTTTTGGCACAATTTTCATGCTTATTGATTTTAACTTCAATGATTTATTTCTTTTATTTAAGGTACTATATTGTGACCAAACATGCCTAGAAAAAGCATACAACAGCTACCATAAAATTGAATGCTCATTTGTATACCCCCTCAAAGGAGATCCTACTGTTGAATCAACTCATGCTCTAGCTATGCGTTGCTTCATTCAAATGACCAATACTTTTGGTATTGAAAGTTATTGTTCCCAAGTTGAAGAGTTTGAAAAGAACCGATCAAATGGAATAAATTTTCATGAAATCATGATGACTGATCAGTTTTATTCTATATATGGTTTGCAAGGAAATGAAAATACGAGAAGCGTTGAAAATTTATTTTTTATATATTGTACGGCGTCTGTAATGGTTTCACTATTGCTCTTAAACGAAAGTTTTCACATTAACGAGCAACTTTTTGATACTGTAGGTAAATCATTAGTACATTTGTTATGCATAACAAATTTAAATTCCTACGTATCCATGGAACTTCCGGCCGGATATTCAAGCAGGAAGACTATCAATATACCAAATGCCTGCACAAATCTGACGACTATTACTCTGATACTTAGTCCCTTGTATAGTCTGATCAATCATTCGTGCGACCCCAACGTTATTGTTCATACCTATGATGGCATTGAAGTTACCAGAGCGTTACAGCCTATTCCTAAAGGTTCTCAGGTATATAATATTTTTATTATATAATCTAAATACAAGCCTATAACAGCCTGTAATCCAGTGGTTAAAGTGGGAAAAACTAGGAGGGGATACTATAGTTCCTAAAAAATAAGAAGCGTTCCAGAGTCACACCGAATTGTTTCCCTTCAAATGCTAAAAATGATATTGATCATAATAAGCAAATATACTTACTTAGTAAAAAAAAAATATCTCAAAGGAATAAATTAGTATCTATAATTTTTGTTATTTCATTAAAAATAAACTAAAAATGAATATTATATAAAACATCACAAAGTCAGTATCAACATTTTGATTTATTATAAAAATAAATGCAAAACAGTATTTTTAAATTTTAAATATATTATACTATACCAGAAACAAGTTGAGAAAAAAATATTAACAGTAACTAATTTAGGTAAGTATCTACATATAAAAATATGAAATGAACAAATTTAGTAATATAATTTATAAAGTATTCAACAAACTTATAATATATTAACAACAGTAGTAGGTTTTATTAAAATAACAAATATTTATACCACCTTAAATTTTTATTTCTATCACTTTATATCCTTAATAAAATAAGTCTTTTAGTTACATGTGTAATAAAAATTAATTACATGTTTTTTTAAGTTTACATTAAAAAATTAATTAATTAAACTTTTGATAATCAAAAATCAAACAAATAACAGTAGTTACGTTATGGTCGAACGTGCTCCAAGTACTTATATTACCATGGTCGTATCATAAAATTTTTATCCATTTTATAATTTAAGTTCTCTACGGTTATATTTTTTTAAACAATTTTGAAATTTCGACCATTTAAATAATTTTTTTTATATTAACGCTTTCTACTCTTCAGTGATTAAAATTAAAGCGTTTCCTCGGCATTTTGGGATTCGACTTAAAGGGAACCGTTAGATTAAACACTAAAAAAGAAGTGTGAGTCCGTTTCCCTCGCTTTAACCACTACTGTATACTGGTGAAAGGATAAAAAAATCAATCTTGAAGTAAAAAATTATTTTACATACTTGCATTACAATAATACGGTGCCCTAATTATAGACATTGTATCACTGCAAGTTTTACTAATAATAAGAAAAATTTGGATTTGTACACAAAATAAATTTTAGAAAAATGTTACTACAAAATTGTGCGGTAACCATAGGTGTTTTCATAATGTAACATTTTTTTTTATTTACTTTTTCTTAGCTTTTCACTTGTTATGGAAATAATTTTATGTCGCGCTCTACACAAGAACGTAAAGCTTATCTATTAGATCAATTTGATTTTCATTGCAAATGTCAAGCTTGTGAAGATGATTGGCCAGTTTACTTATGGACAGACTCTTTTTTCTTAAGGTGAATTTTATGGTTACTGTATTAGAAAATGACGTATAAACAAAATTTTATTCTTGTTGAAATCTTCTAATAATAGATCTAAAATATTTAAAGGGGTAAATTATTTTTAAATGAAAAAGTAATTTTATGTATGAAGAAATGCACTTCTAGAATAAGTTATTTATTTTACATTTATTTTTACCTTATTTTAAAAAACAAAATTTATATTTTTTTAAATTTCAAGGGAAATAATTTTCAAAGTGAGATCCCCCCTCACATTAACGACATTGGGATAAGCCATACGACTTAACCCCCTCGTCAAGTCGTCTGGTGATTGAGTGAAGTTAGTTTTGAACTTTTGAGATGCTCTGTATAGCAAGTAGATCGTCATATTAACTAATATTAACTAGATACACCAAATATTGAGAGAACTAACTGTCCATATTGTTTCCGTTTTGTTCCAAGTCCGCCAATACTATTATTTACTTATTATATGTATAAAACTTATATTATGTTATTATAAATTTTAAGCGAACGTCAACCACTGGATTTTAAGCTTCATTGTTTACACCCGGACACGATGGAAAAATTCTATGAAATTTATGAAAAGTTATTACCTAGTCAAAGTGTGAATTCAGACCATTTAAGTTTCTTATTTTCATTTTTATATCAATTACAAAATTGTGTAAAAAAACCTAATGCACTTTATTACAAATGTATTGAAGTAATCAAACAATGTTTGTACTTTACCATAAACGAATTCACTGTAGATGATCAAAACATAATTGTATAATAATCATAGTTATGCTTTGGTAAAATTAAGGTTAACTATATTAAATAACGACGTAAGGAATTGCAATTTTGTAGAAGCCAGACAAATTGAGTATTGATTTTTCGGTTGCATTATAACGACGATTACCCGAGAATATATATTAATGTTTCCTCGTCAAATATTTATATATTAAAAAAATATCAAATATTTAATGACAAAATATTAGCTACCTGCCTATAGTACGAGGATAACATCGAATGTATATATGTAAAATACAAAACATCTAACGTTGTCTCATTATGCATTGTCGAAATAATTATTATGTAAGACAAACATTGTTAAGTGAAATGTCATAAAGTGCAATTTTGTGATCCTACATTACTCATTAATTGTACATTTTATTAAAATTAATATGTTTATATTATTGTAATTATTAAATTTAACTATGTGAAAGCTACTAGCACAGATACCGTAAATATAAATTATTGTTCCTCTCTAAAATAAAAATTGCTGTTTATTTTAAAGTAGATTGTAATTGTTAAAATTTTTGTTAAAAGTAAAGTGTTTATTTTCTACAGAAAAATGTCTCCTCCAAATTATGATACTTACATTAACTTGAAGATATGGAATACTTATTAGGGTAATTTTCTTTAAAACTGATTAATGTATAGTTGGGTCAATAAAAAGTTGTATTTTATTTAAAATTTAAAATTTTATTACATTTTTGAGATTGTTAAAAAATTATTATATTAAGTTAAAGCAGCAACTGAAGCCTAGGTTAAAATAACGCGCAATATAATATTTTTTTAAATAATATGTATTTTTTGTTTTAGTGGAATATTTTACTGAATAATTTCAATAAATCTTTGAAATTAAAAAAATCCTATAATAAACCTATCCCCTAATTTTAACACGAGATCGGGCAATCAATAAATTAATTAAGCCACTTAGAATGTACTTCTACCATACTTTAAAATCTATGAATTAGTTAGAGTGTTTTTCCGCCCAGACATCAAATATTGTTGTTTTCAGAATCGTATAAATGGATGTTCGGGGTATATTTGAATATAAATTTGTTTTGTATCATTATAATATTTAGTTAAGTTATAAAAAGATCAGATTATTTTTTTAAAAGTAAAACTGATTAAAACGTTTTTGATAAGGAATAGACATAAATAACACAGAACAACAGCCTTTTTCATGTTTACAATTTTTATATAAATTCTCATATAAAATTTCGACGCTGATTTTTGGCTTCAAATTTTTAAAATAATTCCTAGTTAGTATTTAAGCGATAACTACATAGTAAAATCGCGAAAAAAAAATAAAGTAGAGGGAAATGAAAGAACTTTTCAAATTTAAATATAGTAGCACAGAGGGGTGTTCGCATAGTGTAGATGTGACATAATTGGGACAAGTATAGATGATATTTGACAATGATTAAAATCACTATCATAAGAAAGGCTTCTGTAAATGTATAAATAGTGTTTAGTTAAAAAAAATGATAGATTATTTCAGAAGAAATATGAACTCTTACATCCTTAATTAAGTTCTAATCAATAGTTCATTCAATTATAAGTATAATATATGAATAAATAATATTTATTATACTTAAATATGGTATATAATTGATATTCAATAATTTATGATTGTAACTTAGAAAAAAATTATATTTACTCAGAAACTATAAAGAATTTAATTAATTTTAATGATTTGTTTTAATAAAAAAACCCTACCAAAAAGTTGTTAAAAAAATCTCCTCAATTGAGATATTATACACATTGATTATAATTGTAAAAATCCATTATAAAATAGAGTGAAATGATAAACCATTTTTAGCTTTGATGCGAAGCTGAGAAGGTATTAATTTTACTATGATGTGTTTTTTTTTATGCCTGTTACCACTTTTTTTCAGCTCTCACCGAACCGATTATTTTCAACGATACGTCAAAAGAACACAAGTCGTATTTAGATCATCTATACTGGGACCAACAATACCAAGTCTCCACTATGCTGGATTTTTTTTTAATGATTTATACAGTAACACATTACCAAAAAATGTTGAATATTATAAATTGGCAGTATTTCATACTTAAGAAATTAATAAACAACAAAGTAAAATGATTTAATTTTGTAGTTCATACTAATTATCATATCAATCCTAATTCAAAAATAAATACTTTAAAAACATTAGAAATGAATGAATTTAATTTTCTACATAAAAAATATGGGCTAAGTAACTATTCTCAATTTTTGAGGGTAATATCTTCAAGTAGATACGATCTATAATCATTTAACATAATATTGAAAAAAAATAGATAAAATAAGAGCTGAGAAAATATGAATGACAGACAAAAAAAAACCACATAGAAAAATGATGTTAATATAAATAAGAAATTCCTTCTCACAAGGGGAGACTACAGTGATGAGGTCCTTTACATTCATTGGAGTTATTAAATCTAAATGAGATAAAAATCAAATAAATTTAAAATTTTTTTCACCTCTAAAAGAATTAAGAAAAAATTAAAAAAAAAAAATTATTTCGACGGGCGGTCGAAACCTCGTACCCCGAGAGAGAAAGTCGTGGTAACCGTATATTGCATTTGACGGTACATAAAAAGGACAATTTAAGCTAGTTCAAAATTTCAAAATTGTATAATCTCGACTTAAAAGAACCACACAATTTAAATAATTTTAACTTTATATTCAATGTAAGTTAAAATTAATATAAATATTATCATATATATAATATAATATTGTTTTATAATATACAATATATAATATAATATTGCAATAAATTTTTGAATAAAAAAATTTTCTTAAAGTTATACAAATTTAAAATAGTCAAAATAAATATTTTCGAATAAAAAAATAAGGGGATTGGTCCTCTTTTACCACTTTTTTTATATGCCAATGCTGAGTTCACTAATTTCTTTTACACCCTTTAAAACGTTTCTGTACAATAAATTATTAAAATTTGTTGAATATTCCAATTTTTAGACAAAAATTGTACCTTTTCTTTAACTTTAATGTCTGTTTTCACCTCAAAAACAAGTCTAGGGATCAAATTTTTTTTTTCAAAATAAATTATATTACATAGGCTTTAAATAGACACATATAATAGTGTCAATACTTCCCTAAAAATTTTCAAAAGTTAAAAGTAAATTTTTTTTTGAAAAAGTTGTAATTTTGAAACTCTTCCTTTGGACAGGAAAAGGGTCAAATGTTCACAAAAATATACCAAATGATGGATAAATACCTAAGGTATCTATAAAAAAAAAAATTATGGTAATTTTAAGAAAAAAATTATGTAAAATGTATCCGCGCACCGTTGCCTTCAAAGCTGCTAATCTTTTTACGCCGAGGATCACGCTGGACCACGTCGCCTACGCCAAAGAAAGTGCTACGATATGTGAAGATTATTATTAACTGTTACGCAATGGGGGTATCGGAATAACCATTGTGCAGGAAGTGTGTAGTAGAAGAGGAAGGCTCATTTCACATTATGTGCGAATGTGAAGCCTTGAACACATTAAGATCAAACTACTTGAGTAAACCTTTTCCTGAAAAAGAAGATATAATAAGACCCAGAGAGATACTAAATTTCCTCGGAAAATCAGCACTCCTTGGTCATCCATAGGTGTAACTTAATGGTCCGCCCTTATACAATGATAAGTATAATGTAATAACATTTCGGTGATAACACTTATGTGGGTAAACCGAATCAAGACAATTCGGTATGAAGTGCGCACTATGGACCAACAGACCTAAATGCATAGGCATTATATCCACCTTTATAATAACTAAAACTAAAGCTATGGTAACAAATTCTACTTTTTTTTACTATAAACTTTCACAAAACTTTTTCATCAACTATAAAGGATCAAAAAAATAGGTTAAACATGACATTTTGGGCTAAATATTTTTGTTATATTAAAAATACAAATCAGTAATAATTTGAAAACAATTTTTTAGCTTCGATGCGAAGCTGAGAAGGTATTAATTTTACTATGATGTGTTTTTTTTTTTTGTGTCTGTTGCCACTTTTTCTCAGCTCTCACTGGACCGATTTCTTTCAACAATACGTCAAAAGATCACAAATCGTATCTAGTTGAAGACATTACCCTTAAAAATTGAAAAATTTTCCCTCGTTCCCCGAAAATGGGGGAAATATCCAAAAAAATTACAAATTTAAAAATCGGTAAATTTTGTCATTTTTTTCACTTTTTTTTCTTAAAACTTCGATAACTTTTTCAAAAATCAACAAATCAACAAATCAACATAATTTTTTTTTATACTAAAACCTTAGATATTTCCCTTTCATTTGATAACATTTTTTTGAAAATCTAACACTTATTCTGCTCATTGGAGGGGATTTAAAATAGCAACTTTTTTACAAAAATCAACTTAATTTTTGAAAATGTACCGGAAATACTGCGTCCTTTAAACATATATAAAATCAAAGGTTATGTTATATACTATTAAATGAAAAAAAAAAATTTGTCCCGACACCTTATCTACTATGTGTAAATGGCTGTCGAAAATTAAAAAAAAATGTAATGTTTGCGATAAAAATCACCTTTTATCGGGATGTTTTATGTACTTAAAACTGCCATAACTTTTTCAAATATTAACAAATAAATATAATATTTTTTTATATTGAAACCTTAGGTAATTTCCTTTCGTTTGATATCATTTTTTTCGAAAATCTAACACTTATTCTGCTCACAGGGGGGATTTAAAATAGCAATTTTTTTTACAAAAACTAACTTTTTCAACTTAGTTTTTGAAAATGTTCCGGAAATACTGCGTCCTTCAAACATATATCAAATTAAAGCTTATTTTATGTACTATAAAATGAAAAAAAAAATTTGTCCCGACGACTTATCTTCTATGCGCAAATGGCTACCATATTCA